TCTAGTAGTTATAGCCAAGATTGTAGACTTTTTTTTTTACAGAGGAATGTTCCACTGCATTTTATTCCTCCTTGATTTTGTATGAAGTCTGCAGAAGAGCCATGGGACTGAACACAACAACGTAACCAAAAGTGGGAAGGTTTGTAACTCTTTGAAATGTAAAGGGAACAAGATATTTAATAATGGTCTTTTGATTTGGAATATTCTTTTTCTGTTTTTATCGGAAAGAATGAATTCATTGGTCTTAGACACTTGGATATGGCATTTAGATATCGTCCAGTTCATGGCACTGAAACACCTCATTGTTCATTACCTGTGTCTTATGGAACAGACAATAGGAGAGTGATAATGTAAACTGAACAATAACATTATATTCTTCTCTTCCTGTATGCCACCATGTAAATTGTGATGTTAACACTGTCCATCACCAGATTCTTGCTAAACTTACTGTGTGATCATACTGCAGTTTTGGACTAACACTGAAGACACATTGGTTTCTGGATTTGTTACAGCATAGGTTTGCACACTGTCCTTCATGTGTAGTCTGTCACTGTAATCCACAGCTCATCTCTTTTGTTCCTATTTAAATGACTGTCCTTATCATTGCCTAGGTCGCTTGTTCCTTACCTATTATCTTTTAACCTTTTTTTGGATGTTTTTTTGCTAGCATACAAAAATGTAAATTTCCACGGTAAGCAGAACTGTTACATTAGGGCAGAAGGGATAATCTCCTTTGAGTGTGATTTTGCAGTATAGAATTTTTAATCACCTATACACTTTGTATAAGATAATGGTTAGCATTTTATTTCATGACATTAATTCAGTAATCATTAAGTATAGAAGCAGCACTGTTGCTCTGGTGGTTTTTTATATCCTATTACTACAGAAGGTACCTGAATTTAATTCCAGTAGTAGTAATTCTCTCCTTTGTCAATGTTACCATATTGTCCTTGGAAAGGAGAGTATTTCTAAGGAAGATTTCTAATTTCTAGACAGTGAAAATATTGGTAATTAAATAGGCAATTAAAGGGAAACTAATCACATGGATATTTTGAAAATAGCCAACTTCCTACACATGTGAATTCACTGTCTTTGACAGCACTGAGAACTGCTTTGTGCAGATACAGCCTATAGACTTCTGCCAATGCACTACTGTCTGGCAATGGGGACAGAAGTTGTTGCATTTATTCCTTCCTGTAATGGATGGTAAACAGAAAAATCTTTTCATATTTGCACCTTGTTGGTATACCTTTCTTTGTTGAGCAGCATCTCTCTCAGAAGAAATGTCTACAGTCAATGATCATTTGGCTGTTTAATGGTTTTCTTCAAATTCTCTTAGTTTAATCATGTTTTTAAGAAGTCGTGGGCTTAGTAATTTTCCAATCTTTTAACACGGTTGATTTGTTTAATAAAGGTGTTTTGAAATCAGAAAAGCAGTTCTATAACCTAAATTATGACTTCTTTGCAGAAATATATTAATGGTTAGAGAATGATTTGCAATAGGACTGCTGGATGAGCCAAGACTGAAGGAGGCTTTCTTTGTGTTGCAGTAAGTAGCACAGTAGCTGGACCTACCCGAAGAAAAGCTATTGGAGATAATTCGTAGGAAAGGAGACTTTAGAAGAAAAACTGAAGAATGTATTGAGGAGGGAAAACTTACTAAGAAGGAGGATGTAGTGAAATGTGAGATAAGTGAGGAGAAAATTATCATACACCTTCCTATGTCTCACCTAATGGTTAGCTTTCTGCTCTCCATTTACGCTTCTATATTGCTTTAGTGCTAATCAATACAAAACAGCAGTTACTTGGATTTTTCTTGCCACACATATTATAGCTGTTCACATAATTTTATTACATTCCGTTTTATGAAGAGCTCAAAAAAAAAAAAACCCCACAAACAAAAACCTTCTCTTTATTTAGGGCCAAATGGATATTCCTGATAAAAAGTATGCTCAAAGGCCTTTCAGTCCTAGGAAAGATCCAAAGACTGGAAAATCATATTCTGCATCAGTGGGTGCTAATGAAAGTCTAGGTAATGGCACAGGCAATCAATGGCATCTTTTAGTTGCTAATTTACAGTAATTTACATATGTATATTTAAAAAATTTATAACACATTTGTTGTTATGTTACATAGGCTAAAGTACTCAGAAAGTGACACCTTTGAGTTGTTGCCTAGAGGTACTTCATGTTGTCTTGAATGAATTTGCAGTTTCTTTTCATGAATAGTTTGGAAATGTGCTGGTTTTGAGGAAGCCTGAAGAAAGATCCACTTGGATATGTAAAAAAACTGGAATTAGGAGCATGCTGTGGGAGCTTATTAATGATTCAGGGTGGTTGGTTTCAGTTTCCCCTCCTTCCTTTCACAAGGCAAAATCTGATCGATACTTTTCTTTCAAGGTCACAACTGCTGCTCAGTCTCTGTCCTTCTCACAACACTTGTCCAACCATATGAGTGTTTTGGAGGATTTAATTACTAGTTTTATCGAGGTTGTCATCAATAACTCTTAGCATAATCAGGCTCGGACAGAAAGTGATATTACTACAAGAGAAGACTCTTCCCTGATGCAAATACAGGGGTGCTGTGCTCGTGAACGGCTTCCTGTCAGTCATGAAAGGGGCTTTTCCCCTCCCTTCCTTACCCCAGTAATCCTGTGGTTGCATTACGGATAGGAAACCTGTGAAACAGTGGCATAATGTATCTCATATTTGATTTTGCAAGATTTGTAAAACAGAGTTGAGGGTGAGAAAATTAAGTTTCTGTCTTTGTGAAGGACAAGATGTTTCTACTGCATGGGCGATGATATGTCTTAATGTGTTTTGGCAATTTGTTTTCCAGAACTGCTAGTGAAAGGTCTATTTAAAAAAAAAAAAAATTATAGTTTTTTTTGTGTATTTTTTGGGTACATTTTGTTCCTTTATTTAGAAATCGGTTCAGTGTAGAATAAGTAAACTTGTTACATATTCAATAACTAACCTCACTTCCTGAAGTTACATTGTCAATCTGAAGGGGAGTACCAGATTCAATATTTTAATTGCAGGAAAGGAAACAATGTTCTTCTAATGGGGGTGGAAACCTTTGTCACTGTAAAATAGCTTTCCTGTTTTGAGAAATACCATAAGCAGTCACTCAAAAATACAGAAGAATATCTTAATACTTTGCTATCTTTTGTTTGGAATCCTGTTAGAGTATTTCTCAGCCAAGCTTTCTGAATAGGCTGCTAAAATACAGGTTTGATGCTTTGTCAAGAGGCTTACATGCTTCAGTTTTCACATAGATACCATATTGCTGAACAGGATCTTCTTTTTGAAATTTAAATTCTATAGTTTTAAAGTGATATTTAAGATGTTAACTTGAGTAGAATGAGCTGGATGTATTTGTAGGAGCTAAAAAAGTTGATCCAGTATAATGTTTATGTTGGCTAAAAAATAACAAATAAAATTTAGGGCATTATCTCTTCCTTCTGCTGCTTTTTAGGAAAAACTAGACAGGGTAAAGGTCTGAAGTCATGACGGAATTCAGAGTTATCATAACAATTTCAAGAGCAAGCTCCTGGAGGTCAGCTTTATTGTAGAATATATGAACACAGTTAATCATGCTTGTTGAACATGATGGATCCAAACTTGCTGTGGGTTGTAATCCCTAGTCAGTCAAAGAATGTCCACAGTTCATTTTGCTCATTCTACTGACATCATATTTAACGTAGCTCAAATCAGTTTTATATATATATCTATTCTATTGATTTTATGCTGTTCATAAAATGCTAGTAATAGAAAATCTATTTCTGTTGCTTTTTTGTATGGGACTAGTACCTTAATGTTAATATAATTTCCAAGGAAAAAGCTGTTCAGTGACTCATATTAAATGTGTTGGAGGGAATTTGTATACACCTGTATACAAATGTGCAGCTACACAAATTTTCAAGTGGTATAATTTGAGTAGATTAATTAAATTGAGCCGTGCCATTTGGCTGGGGTTTGCTTTTATATGTTTTTTTTAGTCCCTGTGTTGAATTCATAATGTATGTCTGGGTCTGCTCACGAGAGATCCATTGCTTTTCCATGTGAAGTTTATTTTTTCATGTTGCAAAGAATACGTAGCACTAATAAAAACTCAGGACAGAGAGGCTTAAATTTGCAAATATTTTGTTTATGTTCATTGTGATGCTTCATGCTGAACTACCTGGACTAGAACAGGAGGAGACATGGAAACCTGTGGTTTTACTACCTTGGTACCTCCAGCTTTACAGGAAGCAGCGGGAGAACACCAGGGTCTCTGGCACAACAGACAGCAACTTGCAGAAGCTTTAGTCAATGCAAATTGGTTAGAAGTTAGTTTCGGTACTGGAACTGAGGAGTAGGGCCAGGTGCTGAACAAGCTGTTTTGATGTTAGGTCTTCTGAAGGTTCCTTAATGCAGTGAATTACTGACTCGGCTGTTAATGAATTGGGTTTTTTGTCTGTATATGATCCCCAAGAAAAGCAAAAGTCCCAGACAAAAAAACATAAACCCCGAGCAAAAAAGTGTTTCATGCAGGGTGACTAACTATTGACCCTTGACTTCAGCGGGGGCTGTCTGTATCTTAAGTTTGTCTCTGCAGGACAAGGATATATACCAAGAAGAATTTTGCCAGTGACTGCAGAATATCTCCTCACTGCTTATCATAAAGCATGGTATTACAATTTTTTCATAAATACTTTTAAGTCAAGTCATGCATATTTCTGTAGCTTTAAAACATATGTACAAGCTGTGTCTGGTAAAGTCCAGTCCAGAAAATACCAGTTAATAGTGACAGCCCTCCTCGTGGTATAGACTGTTAACTGTGAAAAATGTAAACTGGGAATAATCTAGAAGAATCACAATGGATGTTTTCTCTCCTGCAGAGTTAAGATGCAAAATAAAGCAATTGGTGAAGAAATATAAATATAAAAAAAGAGTACAATTGGCAGTTGCAAACCAAATCCTTGAAAATTGCATTAATGGTAATGCATTCCATTCCAGTTCATGGTGAAGTAAAAGGAGTTTGTCTGGTAGATCAAATACGGCTTTCATTACAAGACTGCGACAATGAAAGTGAGATGATAAAGCTATTCAGACTCCTAACCTATAAAGAGCAAAGACTATACTGTTTTTAAATATACCTGGTGAACTTACAGAATTATTTATTCTTAGGACAGTTGTCATTATAAAATACTACATTTGTTTTCAGTTCCATTTACGGGATTTATCTGTCCTATTATGTGTATGTGTGTGTACATGTATACATACATTGTTTTTTTTTTTAAAATATATGTGCAGTCAAAATTGTGAATAATTAATGATGCATATTAAATTCCCCTATGAATCTGGGAAATTCTTTCTATATAAATGTCAGGGCTTTGAACAGGGCTTGAAAGGGATTTTATTCTATTGAAATATTTGATAAATTGGGATGGACTAAATAACAGTCTGAGAATGTAACTTGCTGTCTTGTTTTGCTCATTACAAATAGATTGTGAAACAATTGGTAAGAATCCACTTGGTGTAAGCAAACCCAGCTGTATATGGAAAAGTCCCAGGTATCATGTTTAGACTAATGTCTTTACATGAGTGGGTTTTGGGTTGTTTTTTTTTTTTTTTTTTTTAAGTTTGCTAACATGTTTTAAATCATCATCTTATTTTCCAGTCCAGACAAGAGTAAAATCACAAGAGCTCTCAAATACCTGTTAATACATTTTTCAGACAGAATGTCAAAAATTGCTTTCTGTTGCATCAATATTGATTCATGGCACCAAGCCTAAATAATTAGATCTGGCCAAATACCAAGCTTTTGTATCCTACATTACCAAAACTGGTGCAATTATTTTGAAAATTGTTTAACCAGTTGCAATACTAGCATGCATTTCACATAACTGACTCACCTCTTCCATTGTACTTGAAGTAATCAGCAATAACTCAATTTTGTATTATCTGTTAAGTGGTCTCCCTGGAGAGAAGGCACAGTGTGTGGTTTGCATGTACGATGTAATTTCACTCAGTTCTGGGGCAAAGCACAGCAGTGTTTGAGGCTACCAGTATGCCATCAAAGCAAATGGGGCTAGGGTACATTCTCTGGCCCTTAGGGAAAGGCATAGATCATGTCCATATGTTTAAAACTATTCTCCCTCATCCCTCAAATAAGGTGGCCTCATACATGCTGTGTATTGCAAATAATTCCTGACCCATGCACTCCTTTGAACTGTACTGGGACATTGGGAGTGTGCTATTTATCTTCTATAGATTAAATAACTGTGGATAAAAAAAAAAAGATACACCCTTGCTCAAGCCTGTGTTCTGGGCCTTTTTTATTTACTGACACAAATGTGCCCTAAGCCTCTTTGTCTTTGAAGTCTTTAGCTTAGTAGATGGGCCTGGAAGCAACTAGTCTTGAACATCCCATTTACACTAAAGAGGTTTTGACTTCTTAACTACTGTTTGGATCCTGTTGTGTGGTTGTTTCACATCTGAATTTGCACTGTTACTCTGGTAGGATAGAGTCATTCAAGCTCCAGTTTGCAGCAGCCTTGCTCCAAGTAAGTCTGAGTTTGGGCAGGTGGGGGTGAGATGGGAATCCCATCTCATGAAAGGAAGGCAGGTGTAAGCCCTATTGCTGATTCTTTCTGCACTGGCAGTAGCACAAATGGAGAACACCACTCGGGCCAATGCTGGCAGCATTGTGGCCAAAGCATTGCCAGGTTCCAGGGGTTCCTGACCTGCGATTGTTGCAGGCTGGGACATGTTTAGTTTCTGGAGCCCAAAGGCAGGCAATCATTCTGTTTGCGTGACCAAAGAAGAGACAGGCATCTTGGGTTGGCTATTTATTCATTGAAAGCAAGGGGATTTGACTATGAAGACTGAGAACTCTGGATTTCTTAACAGTGCCTTTAGGGGGAATTGTCACCAAGTAAAGAATCAATCTCTTCTTTCAGAAGAAGTATCTCTTACTTCAAATGCATTTCAAGCTTTTTGTTAACCTTAATATGGCTACAAGATCATTCTTTCTGTAGAAAGAGAGAAATTCAGAAGGCACACCTTGACAATGCCACAGAAGTAACTGAGCAATAGCATCATTATTTTCCTGGTTCTGTCCCTACAAAGTTATATGATGGTAATATGATTGGGAGTGGTTTTATTTGGTTGGATAACAGGACAGGAGCTTGTTCCACATTCACAGAGAGGGAAAGGATATTTCTATTGCTGTTCACACATCTTGGAAAGTTGTGTTCCTAGGGTTTCAGTGGTAGCAGACAAATAGGATTTGAACAGGACATAAAGCATACTGTGTGCCAGACGTGGATGAGAAATCTAGCAGCTCCAGTTGCAGGAAAAAAGTTTCAAGTAAGAGAACAGTCTTATTCACTTACTTGCTAATAGCCTCCCCTGGCAGTTATGGCAATAAACGACTAAACATGGTATCCATTATAGGCTCATGTCTAATTTATTTCATGTTAATTAAATTTATAATTATATGGTATCATTTAGTAAAATTGTTTACTTTCTCCTGTAAAGTTGCTGAGTCTTCAGATGGGGCTTTTTGGCTGTAATTTAGGTGCAATTAGCCTTTTAAATATAGTATGTGTTTTGTTCTGTCAAAAAGGTGCTGTAAAAGGTAGCATTCATAAATACATAGAGTGAGATTTTTCCCTTTTCCCAAGACCATTTTCCTTTTTCATTCCTTGGTGTATCCTGTGAAGAGTGCTCCTTTGAATGGAGATCCATTTTATGCCCATGTAAAACTGAGAACAGAGTTTCAGACTGGAGTAAGTGCATTTTTTTTTTCACTTTGGCTCCAAGTAGCTGTGATTCAGAAGACTCAAACTTCTACATTTAGTACTGTGTTGTGCCGTATTTTTCCTTAAAAGTATTATTCTCCAGCAGTGTCTTTGGTGTGATTCCAGCTTACTGCAATATCTGGGGAGAAAAAGTCCCTGGAGCCTTTGAAGAGGTGTGGGACCTGAATGTATATAGTTCAAGCTGCCTACAAAATATGTGCCAGACTTGGAGTTGGCTTCTCAGGAGTGTAAATCCAGACCACAAGGTTCATGAGGAAACATCCCGTGCCTCATCCTTCTCTTACGTCAGAGCCCATGTGTTGCTATGGAGGAGGACTGATGTAGATAACGTTCAGTGGAAGGCAACTGTAAGATTGTCTCTTCCACGTGCTGTGACATTAGGGTTTGTTGTAAGAGATAACTAGCAGAGCTTTTGGGGTATTTTTGTTTTTTCCCTAGGGGAACTATATCTTAATTTCCTATCAATAGAGTATTAGTGGGGTGAAATACTTGAGCCAAGATTTTTTCAAAATGGGGCAGTGATCTGTGGCCCTGAGACCTTAAAGTCTGCACAGGATGGAGAAAGAAAAGATGCACAGAAATGATATAGTAGTGTTCATGGAGCAAAACAAGTAACCGGACTAGCTGGGATTTGGCTCTTGGTTGCTTGCTGTCAGTCCATTATCCTGATCATGGACCACACACAGATCAGTTTTTTTAAGAAAAATCATTAATTGCCATAGGGAAGTGCTTGACTGTAAAGGAAGGCAGTTGAGATTAATGAATTAAAAAAAAAAATTGTTTTACTAGAGGCATTCAGTGATTAGGATATGCATCTTGTATTCAGACTTCACAGACTTCACAGACTCAAGGTGAAATGTCGTAGAAAGGAAGCTGGAGTATTGCTCAATAACATCTACAAGGCCTGTAATGATCAAAGGAGTTAATATTGTTCTAAGGCAACAGTAAGCAAAATAATCCCATTATAAATGAATATATATGATATAGTTCCGTAACTCTTACTGGACTGGAATTAGAAACATTATTTCCCTAATTTGCATATAAAAAACTGTCTTGCCAGTTCAAATTTGAATCTTATCTTTCATATCAAAAATGTGGAACATCTGTTGATCCTTGGAATTATGCAAGCTAACCTGATGGTAGAGTTGGCTTCAATATTCAGGTAGACACACAATGGTTTTGAAGTTGACAGTTACTCTCTTTTTCAAAGGAGTAAGACATAATTATGCTGTGTCCTTCGTGTGCTCTGATCTTCTTTCTTGTGGCTGTAAACTGACACTTGTCAAAAGTGTACCTGTGTAGTAGCATTTCTGTATTTTACATGCATACCCATTAGTGTATTAAACACAAATGCTAGGGATTTCATAAGGTAAACAGCCTTTTTTCTTAACAGCTTTGACTTTTCAAGTGCTTGCAGAAAGCTTTGAGAAGGCGTTCCTTGATGTATTGATTGATCTCTCAGGCATATGGTGTTTCATGCAAATGAAATGTATAATAACCTGCAGAGGTCCATGTTTTAAAATGTGTATGCAGATAGTAATTGCTGTGCCCTTTCCTATGAACTGGATTTCTGTTAATGTGTGTTTTCAGTGGTCCTGTGGCAAGCTGCTGTTACTGCAGTTCTGTTTCTGAGTCTGAACAGTTGCTTATTCACACTTTCTCTTCTTCACTCTCCTGACTAGCTCTGAGCACTGGTGGTTTGAGCTTCAGCTTTTAATGTCCTTGACTCTCACTAGTCAATAGCAAGCAAAATAACTACAGCATCAGCATCAATACTGTAAAAGGAAGCGTCTGTTGGATATTGTGCTGGAAGACATGAGCGTAATGACTCTTCTTCAGAAAGATGCAGTATTTTCTCCTTAAGAGTGCTGAATACAAATCTTTAGTTTTCTGCTGCCTGCTTGGAAAATTAGCACATCTTCCAATGTATCATACCAGGAATAAAATAAAAACTCCAAATCAGACTAAGGAAAAACAGATTAGGATATTAAGTGATCCTTGTTAGAAATGTAGAGGACTGTTAGTCCAAAATACTTTTGGCCTCTAAAATGCTGAGTAGACAGGTCAAGTTTTACTATTTCTTGGTTCTAACTCATTTCACAGTGAGAACAGCTTTACTGGGTTCTATACTGAAGTACATATAATTCTGTTGGACCCCCTTTCTCATTTTATGAACTTGTAGATCAGTGAAACAAACCATTAAATAGATTGTATGCTGCCTGCAACAGTAATGTTAATGGCTCCAATTTTATTAAGCTCATT